AAACGCCTGTGCCAATCTCGGGTCAGCTACGAATTGTCCTCCTAGATACCTAATCTGGTGGCATATTTTGCCCGAGGTCTTCAACCTGCCCATACGCATCTCTCTTAAATCCAGGTGGGACCCAGGGCCAGACAAATTAACAAGACAAGTCTGCTTCTTTGTATTCTGCGCACAGTTGCTATCTGCCAGAGCCTGCGTCAGCAAATCTGACGCCTTCTGGACTCTTGCCAGCAGCGGGGCGGCTCTTTCTCCAGCCCTCCCAAGGTGAGAAAGCTCAAGATCATCAGCATACTGGCACAACGTGAGATCTATTGGCTCTGGGTCGCATGGGCTGGACGCCACCAAGCTCGTGCCTGTCACACCAGCTGCGGCCATCAGTTCGCGCCATATTCTCACAAGTGGTTGGAACGCCCTCACCCACGCCGCCACCATGAAAGGGTCCCCCATCATCCCTCCACATCCAGGCCGCAACAGCACGGACCCGAATTCGCACGGAACAGAAATGGTGGCCCTCTCCACCCTCTGCAGCCCCATCGGGACCGCCTGCCAGTCAAAAAGCGAAACCACAGCAGCTTTTAAGCGCCTTTGAGCTATGCTTCCAAAAGCGTTGGTGGCATCGAAATACTGCCTGCAAAAAGACCTATTCTCTCGTTGCGCTCTCCAAGCCAAGATCGATGAAACCAACATAGGTGTCTCCTTACTTCTGCCAGGCTGGTATCCGTGCACATCTGGATCCATATTTTCACGATACATGATAGCCGAGTACCACACCTTACCGAACGAGGGCAACATGTGAACCCATCGTTTCCCAGCAGGTCCCTCGGCTTCAGACTTCCTAAGACCTCCAGCCTGACTACAGTGCCAGAATTTTGGCGTACTCTGTGCCGTGCGAATGCGCCACATGCCTAAATGAACCGCCTTAGTAAAAAGCACCGTGGGGCGGGACGGGTCAGGAGCTCCAACTCCTGCCACCTGCTTCTTCGACGGAATGCCCGCCCCAGGATTCAAAGCCATGTCCCACAGCTCAACAGGGGACGACCACTGCGGGGTCACCCTACGCTTCTGGACCTTACGCAGCTGCCTACGCACTCGCTTCATGTCTTCACCAGCCTGCTCGAAAAACTGTGCATCATACGGCACCGCAGCACCTACTGGTGGCAATCCTTCCCACTCCCCCACCTCCCAAGCCGCCATCCCCCCCTCAGGTCCTGGCAGAGCCCAGAAGTCTAACTGCTCCCTCCGCGTGGGCAGGGCAGTCCTGACCTCTAAAAATTTACGCTTTTTTGGTCCTGTGCGGACGCCCGCCGCCGCCCTCGCGTGATAAAAAGCACGATGCAAATTGCGCACTCTCCATGACTCTCGCATGGCCTCCATATGTTCTTCTTGCTTCAGCTTAAATGCAGTCTTGGCTAGTCCTCTCAACTGCCTAGTCAGGAGCCGAAGCCGATCTGAAATCTCATCTACCTGCTCGGCAAGCGCACCCCCTAGAGCCATTCTAAGCTCTCGTCTACGCACAAGTAGCTGGGAACGCTCTCTCTCACTGTCCGCCCTGCCAGCAACACTCTGCGAAGCCTTCGAAAACAGAGGTGCCGCAGTATCATACAGCACCTTTTCAAGAAATTGAAACAAGTGGTCAGGCTGCGGCTGAGCGGCCAAAAGGGTCCACTCAGCCTGGGTTCGTTCCATCGTCTCCTCCACCCCGTCCAAGAAGCCCCGCAATCCCACCCCCCCCCCTCAACGCCGCCATCATCGCATCAGGATGCAAACGCTGCTTGCCTAGTGAAGGTGGGCCACTGGCTGCCGTGACAATCTCTCGCGAAAAAACAGGCCTTACTACTTCAACCAGCACAGGCAAATGGTCTCTCTTGGCAACTACATTTATCAATTGCAGAGCTCTACCTTTGCCTACCAGTGGTCCTGCCACGCGCACAGCCTGCATCATGGCCGTCGGTACGCACACGTAGTCTATGATCGAGTTATGGTCTGTGCCGTAGAACGTGGGGAGGTCACTCAGCGTCGAGGCCGCCGTCATGAACTGCGCCTCGAGTACAGCTCTGAAAGCCGCTCCTGCGAAATGCTCGAGGCTGGCCCCCTCCGTCTTGATTATATCTGGATTCACACTCTCCTGATCAGATTCCTTGGTAAAACCCATGCCGTCATTCAAGTCACACATCACAATTGGCACAGACCGCGTCGGACATGACGCCAACTCCTTGGATAGCCACTGCAACAGACCGCGCACCGTACGCTTGTAGAGCCCCTGCTTCTTGGTCTCCGTCACCCGAGGCGGGAAGTACAATGCCAGCACCGTGAAATCCTCGCTCCTAGTTCTTACCCGTACCGCTAGGCACCTTCCCAACATTCCAGGAGGCCCTCCTCGAACCGCTCTGACATGTTCTTCTCTAAATCTTCGATGCAACATTACTGAAACGCCACAAGATCGGTTCGAGCACGGGCCTCGCTGCCACCCCGCTTCAATAAGAATCCTCCCATTGACCATTCTACGCTGAATATCCAACTCTTTAGCACGTAATTGTGTTCCCGTCAGGGCAATAGCTTCAACGTCACGAAAAGATTCACTCACATCAGATATTCTATCGGCTCGTGTACATGCTAGCGGATTGTACTGCACAAATTTCCACGTAGGGCCAACTTTACTCTGAAGGGTACGCCAGAGAGGCATGACGGAAAGGAAGAGCAGCACATTCCAGCGACTCATTGCGCCTGCGCCATCATTCCGTCCAACCAGTTGGCCTGAGGTTCAATAAAAGGGGAACCTAAAGGTCAGGATGTGTAAGCTGCCCTATTGCACCAGCCACAAACGGCAGCTAGAAGGAGGAGGAGGAGGAGGAGGAGGCGGCTCAGTGTGGAGCCCGATTTTCTCCGCGCCAGCGTCGCCGATGCACTGCCGACGCCTCCGATGCATCGGCGATGCGGCGCTCTCCTCCGACCCCACCTGCTCGGACCTCGTTCGGGAGGCCTCCACGGGAGGTGGTTGCCGAGCTTCCGTGCTGTCGTAGATTTGTTCCGAGCTCTTGGTGCTGTTTCGAGCTGTTCGCCGTCCGTTCCTCAGGGGCGACGAGGCAACCCGATGGTCCCCCCAAGGGACTGTCGGCTCCCCAACGGTGTTTGCCGCGATCACCGGTGCCCGTGGTGAGCTGGATGAGGGGCGCGAGGCTCCGAGCGACGATCCTGGCGGCACCACCGCGGACGGCGCTGGCCCTCCGCAGCCAAGCGTGACGTTCCCGCCAACGCGACGGACAACCGGATGCCCCGGCTCTCGCAGCCCCGTCTTCCTGCTGTATTGTTTCGCCCTGCTCTTCACGCTTCAGCGCCTGTAGCCTTGGCGTCGGTCGTCGGGTGTGGCCGTGATGCCGTTTCGCGTCCACTGCCAGGTCACTGGCCGGCCCAGCTGGCCGCCCCGGCGCGCTCATCCTGTAACGTTTTCAGCCTTCAGTGCCCTTGCCCTCCTTCCTGTTTTCGCGGCCGCTTCTCCTCCTCGCGCGTCCCCTGTTGTCGTCGGACAATTTGTTCGTTCCGCCCCCAGCAATTCGAGCGCTCGTGCGGATTGCCTCTGCCGTGCCACGACGCAAAAAGTGTAAACATAAGCGTGTGCTAGGCTGTTTTTCCCAGCGCAAGTCGCAGCGCAAACCAACTCGTCATATCATCATGCCGCGTCGCAGCAAAACGGGGCAACATAAGTATCACCCACACTGCTACAAGACATTGCATCACGGCACGGTACAGGGTATGAACGCATGTCGCAACATTGCACATCATGATGCAGCGTGACACAGACGTATGTAACGATAAGTCAGAACGTGGTGTGAAAGAACCGCACACCACACAATCCAACATCCCGCAGTCTCAATACACCCGGCGGCCCAACGTCGTATCACATCGCCAGTATGGCCCACACAAATACTTAGCACATTTACATCCAACAAGTCTACACTACGTGGCCACAGACAGCCGACATTCATTCGTGATAACAAACATTATACCACATCATACAAGAGGCGCAACACGAAACCATATATCTTAAACTTGGCATCGCGATCCACATAGCGAACGTGGAAACACAACAGAAACCAGAACGCGCACGTATGGAATCAACCGGTCACAGATTTCATGGCGCAGACTTGTTTGAATACACGCATGCTGGCAATCATGCGCGCGAGCAAACAACGGCCAACTGGTTGCGGATGCACACATATGGCCATTTAGCCAGTCAAGTAGGCAGCGCGAGCAAGAGCAACGATCGCGTGCCATATGCACGCGCATCACAACAACGCGCAATAAACCCCGCACCCCCAATGAATTCCACGTGTTCGGGGCAACGTGTACGACGCACGGCATACATCGACTCGTGGCGCTAGTTTTTTGCAGACGGGCTTCATCACCCGCCGGAGGTACCGTTGCTATGCCGTTCCGCCATTTGTCACTGGCCACGAACAGCGCATGATAACATTAATGCTGCGGGTGTGACCGCCCCTGGGTCTACGCGCGCCGTCCAGGGCAGCCAGCCCCCCCGTCAAGCATTCGTCGTGCCCCATGAGCGTCGCAGTCAATCACGCAACGGTGCCGACCTGAGGGTGTATTGCTTCGAAGTCGAGCCCACAGGCCACTCAGCTGAGCTCATTGGAGTGGCATTTCTGATGTCTCATCGTTTGGGTCCCCAAATTCGTGGGAGGTTTAACTCAGCATTGCCGCTGGCATTTTCCATGGGTTTAATCTGGTTGAGTCCAGCGTACGCCCGTTCAATACGGCCCACTTTGGCTTCACAGTGGGTTCAATGTGGGCTTATCCGTGGCCTTCTAAATCAGGCTTCATGGATCTTTCTTGCGCCAGCAAAGACCTCCCAGAGGTTGTTTCCTACATAACCTCGTGGATCGAAGGATGCAGGGGTAGCACAGGATGTGACACATTGCAGCTGGGAATGGTGTCGCGCTGGGACGTGAGGGAAAAGGTGTGGGCAAGGGTGATGTGTGCATTCGAAGGTCGAGAGGTCCTTCCGAGACAAGACGAACACAGAGGTCGCATGCCTATCGCGCTTCTGCGTGCCAGTCAGTCTTTTGGGCCCAGCCTTGCCCTCGCCTTGTTTCTTCCGAGACGGCAGGCTGCTGCCATTGAGGTGAGCAAGGATTGCGGCTTGCTAGAACCATCGCGCGCGGTCTCGATCACATGAGTGTACATTTGCTCTCCGTATGTGTTCGAACGCCCGCTATGTATGCATGTTCGTACGCCTGTTCGTGATGCATGCTGTGATGCTGGTCATGCGTGTGTTTGAGTATGTTGGCTACGTACATGTGATCATTATCTTTACGTATATGGTTGTATGTGCAGACGTCACGTTTGTTCTTGATGTATGTTCTTTAACTTATGGCCTTCAGCCCATCCCGCCACCGTGCCTGGGTTGTGGGTATGAAGCCTATTGGATGTTCGTTGGGATCTCATGGGAGGACTCGCGGGGGCCTCATGGAGGCAGTCTGGGAGCCTCTTGGGGGCCGGTTTGGGGCCTCTTGGGGCCTCTGTTGAGCTTCTTGGGGCTTCTTGGGGGCCTCTTGATGGCATCTTGGGGGCTTCTTGGGGCGGAAAGCTCGGATCTTCGGTCCGCGTCCTGTCACTTGGGCCCCTTTTGGGGGCCGTCTTGGGGCCCTCGTGGGCCGTCCTTGGGCGCCTCTTGGGCCGTCTTGGGGCGCTTGGCCCGTCTTGGGGCCCTCTTGGAGGCCTCGTAGGCCGCCTTGGGGTGGTCGTGGTGTCCATCTTGGGCCGTCTCGGGGCGTCGGAAAGCCGAAAAGGCGAGAAGGCCCAAATCTTCCAAACACCTAAATCAATGAGTTTGGCCTCTGGAGGCCTTCTTGGGAGGCCTCTTCGAGGCCTCTCGGGGCGTCTGGGAGGCCTCCTGGGCCGTTGTGAGGCCATCTTGGGCGTCTTTGGGCTGATTTTTCCCCACATGCTTCGTGGGGTTCTGGTTTTCTTCCTTGCCGCGCCGCACCCGCGACACTCACACCTCACCTCTCTCTCCTTCTCACACAGCGCAGCACAGCACAGCACAGCACAGCACAGCACAGCACAGCACAGCACAGCACAGCACATGCACAGCAGCGTAGGGGGTGCGCAGGGGGTGGTCTCTTACCGCGGCCGCTATCCGTGACGGTCGTCCAGGGCACAGCAGGCATGGCATATTCTCGACACCATACGGGGTGCGCAGGGGGTGGGCTCCCACCGCGGCCGCTATCCGTGACAGTCGTCCAGGGCACAGCAGGCATGGCATATTCTCGACACCATAGGGGGTGCGCAGGGGGTGGTCTCTCACCGCGGCCGCTATCCGTGACAGTCGTCCAGGGCCCAGCAGGCATGGCATATTCTCGACACCATAAGGGGGTGCGCAGGGGGTGGTCTCTCACCGCGGCCGCTACTCGTGACGGTCGTCCAGGGCACAGCGGTATCGGCGGGGCAGCGGCCACCAACATCATTCTCACATGCTTCACTTCAGCTGAAATCACTCCAGCCATAACGTAAGTATGTGGGGTTCCTCGGTACTCCAGATTTCGTAATAAAGGGAGGGGGGTCTCATTTCGGGGGGGGTCTCTTCCAGGCTATCTTGGAGGGCCTGGGGGGGTCTGGGGACGATGTTTGGGAGGGTTCTCCCACGGGGGAGGTCTGAAATGGCTTGTCTTGGAGGATCCAGACCCCCTGCCTTTTATTACGAACTCTGGAGTAGCGTATTGTTGGGCGTCTCGGGGCCCGCTTGGGCAGGCTTGGGGCCCTCTTGGCCAGTCTCGGAGGAGGAGGAGGAGGAGGAGGAGGAGCGTATTTGGGCGTCTCGGGGCCCGCTTGGGCAGGCTTGGGGCCCTCTTGGCCAGTCTTGGGGCCCTGAGGCAGGACCTCCCGGAGCCCACCGGGGGGCACGCGCCTCGCCCCACTCCTCCTCCTCCTCCTCCTCCTCCTCCTCCTCCTCCTCCTCCTCCTCCTCCTCCTCCTCCTCCTCCTCCTCCTCCTCCTCCTCCTCCTCCTCCTCCTCCTCCTCCTCCTCGGCACGGGGCAGGCCCCGCCAAGTGTTTGGGCACGTGGGGTCCAGGCCCCATGACGATCCGAGTGAGGCTCGAGAGGCCTGGAGGGTCGGGCCCCCTCGAGTCATGGGAAAATCACGACGGCAAGTTTTTCTATATTTTCCGCCTCTGGGGGCCCTTACCGGCCCTCGGGACCGTCAAAAAACGACTCAGGATGAAAAACCGGTCCCGGCGAATAGGTCCGGACCTCTGGGGGTCGCGTCATGAAAACATCATGACGTCGGGGGTCTGGGAGGGTCGGGCCCAGGGCCTGAGGGCACGCCCCCGCGAGCTTCTCGGAGGGCCGGTGGCCTGCTGGAGCCCTCTGGGGAGACCCGCCCCAGTTTGCCGTTCCCAGACATCGGGCGTCTCGAAAAAATCGAGACACAAGTTTTTCATCGTTTTCGGCTTCTGGAGGCCCTCGCCGGGCCTCGGGACCGTCAAAAAACGACTCGGGATGAAAAACCGGTCCCGGCGAATAGGTCCGGACCTCTGGGGATCGCGTCATGAAAAAATCATGACGTCGGGGGTCTGGGAGGGTCGGGCCCAGGGCCTGAGGGCACGCCCACTCCGTGCCCAGGGGCGCGGCGGCGGAGCTATCCTCACCACCCACCAAACCACCCCAACCCAACCCGAAGGCTCAGATTTACCCTCGATTTCCAGTGAGGGGGGTGTCGGGAAACATCGAAAAAACACGCGTGGAACCCTTACCCCCCCCAACCCGAAATTCGGGTCTTCGGGTTGGGTTGGGGTGGTCTGGTAGGCAGTCAGTTTGCCGTTCCCCCCCTCGGGCACACCGCCGACCACGACTCCCCGAGGGTCCCCACACGCTGGGCTGCCTCGCGGCCTCGGCAGGTGACATGGCAGAGCCCGGCGGCGCGCCTCGGGGCCAGGCAGAGGGGGCGGTGTTTCTCGGGCCTGCCGAGTGAGCCGTCTGAGCCCTCTCCCCAGACCCCCTCGAGTAGTGAAAAAATCACGACGGGAGGTTTTTCCTAATTTTCCGCCTCCGGGGGCCCTCGGGAGCGTCAAAAAACGACTCAGGATGCAAAGCCGGTCATGGGGAAAGGGTCGGGACCTCTGGAGGTCGACGTAACGAAAAAATCATTACGTCGGGGGTCTGGGTCCGACGACACAGTCAGGGGCAACGATAAGGGGAATAGGATGCTTGTGTGGAAAATCCTAGAGGCCTCGCGCGGCGCGCAATAGTAGTCTGATCCAGTCCACTTGTCAGTTCCGTAAGCTATGGGTCGACGCTCGCGCGGCGTTGCTCAGGAGTCCGTCCGACGTAAATCCGACGTAAATCCGACGTGGCCCCGACGTAACTCCGACGTAGATCCGACGTCAATCGGGTCTCAAGTTGCCGCGCGAGGCCTCCAGGATTTTCTTCATAAGGATGCATCGACACCCAAATCGCCAACCTGATCGCCCATAGGGGCCCGATAGCCCCAACCTGCCCCAGGAACGTGCGGATTCGCAGTGAGTGAGCCCTCTGAGCCCTCTCCGACGACACAGCCAGGGGCAACGATAGGGGGAGTAGGATGCATCGGCACCCGAATCGCCAACTGATCGCCCATAGGGGGCCCGATGGCCCCAGCCTGCCCCAGGAACGTGCGGATTCGCAGTCGGCGGCCCATCGCCGAGCTGCCGGCGAGGCATCGCCGATTCCAGGCCGACGCGCCCCCCCCGATGCAAGCTCCCCCCCCCCTCCTTCCCCAGACCCCCTCGAGTAATGAAAAAATCATGACGGGAAGTTTTTCCTAATTTTCGGTCTCCGGGGGCCCTCACCGGGCCTCGGGAGCGTCAAAAAAAGACTCAAGATGACAAACCGGTCCTGGGGAAGGGGTCGAGATTTCTGGGGTCGACGTAATGAAAAATTCATTACGTCGGGGGTCTGGGTCCTCTGCCCCTCACTCAGGAGGAAAAGAAACACACAGACACAATGAGTCCTCGATTCCCCAGAAAATATAGGAAAATAGGGGAAGTGGGGGGGAAGACAGAAACCCAGAAACCCATCGCCGATCTACCAGCGAGATATCGCCGATTCCAGGCCGACGCGTCCCCCCCTACCGTCGGGGCGCCGAAGAAGGAACCCTTCTCGTTGAGGAGGGGCTCGGTGCTCCTTGACTGTTTCACAGTCTGCCTTGAGCTTTCTGAGGCTTTCGAAGGTAAATCGAAGGTGAACTTGTGTGGGAAAAGGGGCCTCGTTCCGTATTTGGGGTTCCTGAGGTCAACGCCCCGACTGCATGCAAAGTCCCCCCCTTCCTTTCATTTTTGCCCCTCACACAGACGGCCTCCCAGAGGGCCGGAGAGCTCTTCAGGGTCGCCGCTGCCCTCCGAGAAGCACCGCCCCGCCGCGAGGCCCCCGGCCTGGGGCCCAGCGGGGCGCCCCCCAGGTGTTGAGCAGATCCGTCGTGCGGGGCGGCAGCGTCTATCACCGAGCGCAGTGATTGCACTGCTCGCAGGGTGCCTACCCGCAGGCGTCCGAAGCCAGGAAGCGCTGTCTGCCTCGGTGTGAGGTGTCCCAGGAGAAGAAAGAAACACACAGACACAATGAATCGTCGACTCCCCCAGAAATTGCGAGAAAATATATGGGCAGTGGGGGGGGGGGAGACAGGAGCCCAGAAACTATGGGAAAATATGGGGGATCCTTTGATTTGTGTGTATTGATTTTTGTGCCCTTTGGCCCCTTCACTCACACAGACGGCTTCCCAGAAGGCCGGAGAGCTTTTCAGCGTCGCCGCTGCCCTCCGAGAAGCGCCGCCCCGACGCGAGGCCCCCTGCGCCTGGGGCCCGGAGGGGCGCCCCCCAGGTGGAGAGCAGATCCCTCGTGCGGGGCGGCGGCGTCCATCACCGAGCGCAGTGATTGCACTGCTCGCAGAGTGCCTGCCCGCAGGCGCCCGAAGCCAGGAAGGCATGTCGTCCTCGGTGTGAGGTGTCTCAGGAGGAGAAAGAAGCACACAGGCACAATCAATCCTCGACTCCCCCGAAAAGACGGGAAAATCATCTGGGCAGTGGGGGGGGAAGACAGAAGCCCAGAAACTATAGGAAAATATAGGGGGGATCCTTTTCTTTGTGTGTGTGTATTGATTTGTGTGTCCCAGGGCCCCTTTCAGTAAGAGGATGCGGAGGCGGAGGAGGAGGAGGAGGAGGAGAAGGAGGAAGAAGTGGATGGAGGAGGAGGAGGAGGAGGAGGAGGAGGAGGAGGAGGAGGAGGAGCAGGAGGAGGAAGAGGAGGAGGAGGAGGAGAGGGAGGAGGAGGAGGAGGAGGAGGAGGAGGAGGAGAGGGAGGGGGAGGAGGAGGAGGAGGAGGAGGAGGAGGAGGAGGAGGAGGAGGAGGAGGAGGAGGATCGTGAGTCCCCCGCCGCCGGCTTGGGGCCTGGCGGCCGAGGCGTGGGCGGGGCGGGGGGGCCGGGAGCTCGCTCCGCTCCGCTCCGCGGCGCGGTGGCCCCCCCCCGAGGCGGAGCGGCCCCGCGGTGCCCGGGCGTCGCCCGCGGTGCCGAGGGCACGGCCTCGGCCCGGGAGCGATCATGATCAGAGCCCCGAATCATCAGGGGTAACTCGGGTCAGGGATATCGGGGGCGGAAAAGAGGGGGGTGATGACTAGGGGGGGGTGGATCTCATGGCGTGGGCCATGATATTTCCTCAGATTTCATGGCGCCCCTTCTTGTTTCCTTACGTCCCTGGCCCCCCCGCTGGGCCGCGCACATGCCGCCGGCCATGATTTGCACCCCCCCCTCTTGGACACCCCCCTCTTGGCCGCTCCCGAGAATCATCAGGGGTAACTCGGGTCAGGGATGAGTCGGGTTCCTTTTTCGGGAATCCAAACCCGAGTTACCCCGGACCCGAGTTACCCCGGCTATTTCGGGCGTCCAGAGCCCCGAATCATCAGGGGTAACTCGGGTCAGGGCTAAGTCGGGTTCCTTTTCCGGGAATCCAAACCCGAGTTACCCCGGACCCGAGTTACCCCGGATATTTCGGGCGTCCAGAGCCCCGAATCCTCAGGGGCAACTCGGGTCAGGGCTAAGTCGGGTTCCTTTTCCGGGAAATCCAAGCCCGAGTTACCCCGGACCCGAGTTACCCCGGCTATTTCGGGCGTCCAGAGCCCCGAATCGTCAGGGGCAACTCGGGTCAGGGCTAAGTCGGGTTCCTTTTCCGGGAATCCAAACCCGAGTTACCCCGGACCCGAGTCCCCCTGGATATTTCGGGCGTCCAGGGCCCCGAATCATCGGGGGTAACTCGGGTCAGGGCTAAGTCGGGTTCCTTTTCCGGGAAATCCAAGCCCGAGTTACCCCGGACCCGAGTTACCCCGGATAACTCGGGCGCCCAACAGAAATCCGCGCTGGTTTCGAAGGCACGCATTGCGGCGGCCGTTCCTGTCACGGGGTTCGCCCCGCGTGCTGGGCGGCCGTGTGCATGTCAGGAGGAACAAAAAACACACAGACACAATTAATCGTCGATTTCCCAGAAAATATGGGAGAATATGGGAAGTGGTGGGGAAGACAAAAACCCAGACAATATGGGAAAATATGGGGAATCTTTTTATTTGTGTGTATTTATTTGTGTGTCCCAGTTTCCCTTCAGCATGAGCGTGGCTTTGGGTGCCTACGTCCTCTGTGGGCTCCCTCTTTTGCTGCCGCGGCGAAGAGCCCGCCCTCGTCCGCGGCGGGCAGCAGAGAACACTCAGAAGGCGAAAACCCACCCCCACCCCCAGTCCCGACGCCCATCCTCGAGCCGGCGATTCAAGGGGTCGGGACTGGGGGTGGGGGTGGGTTTTCTCCATTCCTGGACCCCGAAAACCCACCCCCACCCCCAGTCCCGACCCCTTGAATCGCGGGTTCGGGGATGGAGTCGGGACTGGGGGTGGGGGTGGGTTTTCGCCTTCTGAAACATTGGGCGATGGCAGGGCCGACCATTTTTCCCGCGCGTTGTCCTCGGCCTCGGGAGGCCGAGGCGGCGGAGGCCGGCAGCGCCGCCATCTTCTTCCGCGAGGAGCCTCCCACGGACGAGGCACGTGATGGGCCGAGATTTCTTGGAGCAGGACTTCTTCTTGTACGTGTCTTTCTGTAGTTTATCGGCAACACCCCAACATACTTATACTATATGTGCGTCGCCCCCCCAGGGGCGACGCGCGCACCGAGAAATCTTATAGTATATGCGTCGTGGCGGGCGCTTTCTGGCCACACCGCTCGGGAAACGATATACTACAAGATGGGTATACTATATGTTCGGGTCGGACGCGCGCCTCCAAGGAGGACATATAGTACTAGTATGTCTTTGTGCTTCCCAGTTTAGGTTGTGCCCTCAGTGGTCTTTTGGCTTCCTCAGTCTACTCGTCGGCGCCTGGTGGCGCCGTGCCCCGACGTCCTTCTGTGCCCCCAGGGCCAGCTCCTGTGGGAGCAGGTTCAGCGGAACGAGGTGGCGATAGAGCTCGGCGATGTGCGGACGGGTGGGGGCAGCGAGAGGGAGGAGGAGGAGGAGGAGGAGGAGGAGGAGGAGGAGGAGGAGGACGAGGAGGAGGAGGAGGAGGAGGAGGAGGAGGAGCAAGGGGAGGAGGTGGAGGAGGTGGAGGAGAAGCAGTTGCGGGTGGAAGCGGCGGGCGTGGATGTGACGGGAGGTGGAGCGGGTGGCGGCAGACGGTGTCCAGGAGGAGGGAGGGCGACAGAAGGAGGAGGAGGAAGAGATGGCGGAAGCGGAGGACGAGGACGAGGAGGAGGGGGAGGAGGAGGAGGAGGAGGAGGAGGAGGAGGAGGAGGAGGAAGAGGAGACGCGTGCTCCAATTGTGCTGACGCACGATGCCCCAGACTCCCGTGGGTTCGGGCCGGCTCGAGTCTCGGCGCGTCCTTGGATGAGGCACCGCGGGCCGCGGTCGCGGCCCGCGGTGCCTTCTTCGCTGTGCTCCGGGCTCTTCTTCCTCCTCCTCCTCGCCTCCTCCTCTATCCCCTCCTCCTCCTCCTATCTCTCGTAGTTCCTCCTCACCTCCTCCTCCTCCTCCCTCTCCCCCTCCCTCTCCTCATCCACTTTCCTCCCCTCTCCGCCCCTCCTCCTCCGCCTCCTCCTCTCCCTCCTCCTCCGCCTCCTCCTCCTCCCCGCCATCCTATCCCTCCGGCGTCCTCCTCCACCGTCCTCCTTCCTCATCTCCCTCTCCCCCGCCCTCTCCTCATCCACTTCCTCCCCTCTCCTCCTCCTCCTCCGCCTCCTCCGCCTCCTCCTCTCCGCCGCCTCCTCCTCCTCCCCCTCCTCCGATCTCTCTCGTCCTCCTCCACCTCCCCTCCACCTACCTCTCCCCTCCCTCTCCTCACCCACTTCCCTCCCCTCTCAGCCTCCTCCTCCTCCTCCTCCTCCTCCGCCTCCGCCTCCTCCTCCTCCCCTCCTCCTACTCTCGTCGTCCTCCTCCACCTCTCCTCCAACCTCCCCTCCTCCCTCTCCCCCTCCCCCTAGAGTCTGGCCGCCTCATACACTGCCTCACTCTCCTCCTCCTTGGGCCCCTCCCCTCTCCTCCTCCTCCTCCTCCTCCTCCTCCTCCTTCTCCTTTTCCCTCACCTTTTCGTTTGAGCCGCCGGGCTTGCAGCAGGGACCTGGAGTAAATGACGGAAGGGGACCTTGAAGCCACGCGCGAAAAGTGGTGGAGAAATTTGGGGTTTCAGTTTGCTTGCACATTTCGCAGCATCGACGATGCCTCAGCTAGTAAGCGTTCAAGGGACACAACGTGGACAATATTGATGATACTAAAGATGTGAAGCAGGGAAATGCGGGCGGGCCAGAGGTGGCTGGCCTTTCTGGAAACGAAGTATCCTCGCTCCCTTCCTCTAGGGTCTGGCCTAGCAGAAGTGGGAACGCGAAACGGATAACTACGACAAGGGCGCAGTTGAGATTTGTTCGGCTCTGCATTTGCGGTCCGAGGGCAGACAGAAGACCGACGTTGTTATCACGATTGCGTTTGCTTGTGAATAGGTATTGCTGCCGAGCGCAGGGCGCACGAGCTACACTCGCAACTTGGCTTCTGAATGGAGGGTGGGCCTGGTAGGAACGCGAACGAGGAAAAGATGGACCGGATAGCCGAGGAGGAGGCACCCCTTTGTGCTCGCCGTGCACCTCACAAGGGAAGGCTTAGCCAACGTAGGAATCTTGGATCCATTGACGTTTGAAGCCTTGTGCGAACATGAAGCATGCATGAAACATCAAGCGTGCATGCGCACCCTTGTGATCTGGAGGCACGGGGGGGAAAGTGAGAGTTTCGCGCAGTCAAATTTTCAGGGAAGGCCTCTGTGGGCGAGGATCAGCATCGACTGCCGACCGCGCTGCGCACTCGTGCGATCCAGGAGCCCTGGCTTCTCCTCCTGCCAGTGGGGTTTCTCTTTCTCCCCGCTGCTCTTTCCTTCCCGTCCGCCTCTATCGATCTCACAATCGATCTCACTATCGATCTCACAATCGATCTCACATTCGGTCTAACTATCGATCTCACCATCGATCTCACAATCGATATCACAATCGACGTCATCATTATCATTCTCAACATCATCGTCATCAACGTCATCAACATCATCATCAGCATCATCGGGACACCATCATCATCATCATTATCATCATGATCATCATCATCATCATCATCATCAACATCATCATCATCATCACCACCACCACCATCATCATCATCATCATCATCATCATCTCATCATCATCATCATCATCATCATCATCATCATCATCATCATCATCATCATCATCATCATCATCACCATCACCATCATCCATCATTCACCATCACCATCTCACACCACCATACCTCATCATCACACCACCAATCATCATCATCACCATCATCCATCATTCATCATATTCATCACCACCATCTTCATCATCATAATCACACCACACCATCATCATCATCCCCACCACCCTCATCATCATCATCACATCACCATCATCATCATCATCACCACACCATCATCTTCATCTCATCACCATCACTCATCTCATATCCACCTCATCACCACCCATCATTCATCATCAATCACACCTACACCATCCTCATCATTCAATCATCACCATCATCATCATCATCACCACCTCGATCATAATCACCCACCTTCACCATCATCATCATCATCACCATTCATCATCATCATCATCACCACCATACCATCATTAACATATCATCATCCCATACCTTTCATTCACATCACACCATCCTCATCATCATCTCACCATCACCATTCATCATAGCATCATCATATCCACCACCATCATCATCATCATCATCACCATCACCATCATCATCATCATCATCACCACCACCACCATCATCATCATCACCATCATCACCACCATCATCATCATCATCACCACCACCACCATCATCATCATCATCACCATCACCATCATCATCATCATCATCATCATCATCATCACCACCACCATCATCATCATCATCATCATCACCTCATCACCATCCGGCGCTCCCAGGCAGCCACCGAGCGGCTCCGGGAGAGCCGCCCCGTGATCGCCAAGGAGGTGCGCGCCGCCGGGGGGAGAAGCGGGCGGGGCTGGCCGCAGCCTCGGCTCGGCCTCTGCTGCTCGCTCGCTCGCTTCGGGCCGAGACTTCCGGTGTAGCTTCTCTTGGCATCGCTCGGACGTGCGTCGGGGGCGGAAAAGAGGGGGGTGATGACTAGGGGGGGGTGGATTTCATGGCGCGGGCCATGATTTTTCCTCAGATCTCATGGCGCCCCTTCTTACTTCATTACGTCCCAGGCCCCCCTGCTGGGCCGCGCACATGCCGCCGGTCATGATTTGCACCCCGAGCTCCCGCCGCTCCCGAGCTCGGACGTGCGATGCGCATTTTTTCTCGCCGAGGGTTATCGGTTATCGAGGAGCATCCTGGATCATCTTGCAAACAAAACCTAGCGCGCGAAGCCGAAACGTGCACGGGGAATGCACGTCAGAGCGATGGCGAGCTCTAGGCCTCCCGGGTGGGGCTGGAGCAGATGAAGTCGGAGGCTCGCGCCGCCTCGCCGACGCATCGGCGATGCGGCTCGATGTGGAGCCCTATCCTGACCACGCCGACGGCGACGATGCATCGCCGATGCCTCGGCGATGCGGCGCGATCCTCCGACCCCATCTACTCGGACTAGGACCCCATCTGTCTAGGTCGCCAGCCAGCCTCCGCCCTGGGGGGCAGGAGGAGAGTGCGGAGGAGGACGATGAGGAGGAGGAGGAGGAGGAGGAGGAGGAGGAGGCGGAGGCGGAGGGGGAGGGGGACGGGGAGCGGGGACGGGGACGGGAGGGACGGGGACTGGGACGGGGACGGGGACTGGGACGGGGTCGGGGCAGGGGGAAGGGGAGGGGGAGGGGGAGGGGGAGGAGGAGGAGGAGGAGGAGGAGGAGGAGGAGGAGGAGGAGGCGAAGGAGGAGGAGGAGGAGGAGGAAGAGGAATAATAATAATAATATTAATATTAATATTATTAATAATAATAATAATAATAATAATAATAATACTAATAATACTAATATTAATACTACTACTACTACTACTAATAATAATAATAATAATAATAATAATAATAATAATAATACTAAGGTTGCGACCCTACCTAGAAGTTGGAGCCCCTAGAAAAGCAGTATTAATTGCTATGATATGCAATGCTATGCTATGCTGCGCTATGCTATGCTATGCTATGCTATGCTATGCTATGCTGCGCCATGCTATGATATGCTAAGATATGCTATGTCATGCTGCGCGGTGTTATGCTAAGCTATGCTATGCTATGGTAAGCTGCGCTATGCTGTGCTGTGCTGCGCTATGCTATGCTGCGCTATGCTATGTTATGATATGCTTGGCTATGCTATGCTATGCTGTGCTATGCTAATGCAGCGCTGCGCTATGCTAAACTAAGCTAAGCTAAGCTAAGCTAGCCCTCTAGGCAGAGCCTAGGTAGGGAAATACACCCATGCTAAGCTAAGATGACGGTAAGCTAAGCTAAGATAAACCTGAGTTAAGACGAAGTTACGCTAAGCTAAGCTGAAATAAGCTAAGCTAAGATCTGATAAGCAACGCTAATCGAAGGGGACGCAACTGGTGGAACCGCGGGGCGGATCCTGGGGGAACCGCCCGGGGCGAGGAACACTGCCCGGCCCCTTTCAGATACAGGGTAAGAACCCTCTGGGCAGAGCCTAGGTAGGGAATAAGAACAATAAGCATACACATAATAAGAAGAATGATAAGAATAATTACCCCAGTGCGACCCTACCTAGAAGTTGGAGCCCCTAGGAACGCAGCATTAGTTGCTTTGCTATGCTATGCCATGCCATGCCATGCTATGCTGCGCTATGCTATGCTAGGCCATGCTGCGCTGTGCTGTGCTATGCTATGCTATGTTATGTCATGCTGCGCTGTGCTATGCTATGATATGCTAAGCTGCGCTATGCTGTGCTGTGCTGTGCTATGCTATGCTGCGCTATGCTATGCTATGCTATGAGTGGCTATGTTATGCTATGTTATGCTATGCTAATGCAGCGCTAAGCTAAGCTAAGCTAAACTAAGCTAGCACTCTAGGCAGAGCCTAGGTAGGGAATTACACCAATGCTAAGCTAAGATGAAGGTAAGCTAAGCTAAGATAAACCTGAGCTAAGATGAAGCTAAACTGAGCTAAGATGAAATAAGCTAAGCTAAGATCTGATAAGCAACGCTAAGCTAAGGGGACGCAACTGGGGGAACCGCGGGGCGGATCCTGGGGGAACCGCCCGGGGCGAGGAACATTGCCCGGCCCCTTTCAGATACAGGGTAAGAACCCTCTAGGCAGAGCCTAGGTAGGGAATAAGAACAATAAGCATACACATAATAAGACAAATAATAAATTACCCCAGTGCGACCCTACCTAGAAGTTGGAGCCCCCAGGAACGCAGCATTAGTTGCTTTGCTATGCTATGCCATGCCATGTCATGCCATGCTATGCTGCGTTATGCTATGCTATGCTATGATGCGCTATGTTATGCTATGCCATGCTAAGCTATGATATGCTAGGTCATGCTGCGCTGTGCTGTGCTATGCTATGCTATGCTATGCTATGCTAAGCTGCGCTATGCTATGCTGTGCTGTGCTGTACTATGCTATGCTGCACTCTGCTATGCTATGCTATGCCTGGCTATGCTATGCTATGCTATGCTAATGCAGCGCTGCGCTATGCTAAGCTAAGCTAAGCTAAGCTAGCCCTCTAGGCAGAGCCTAGGTAGGGAATCACATCCATGCTCTTGTTTTGCCTTGCTCGACATCTGTCGCACATTGCTTTTGCTGTGCCTTGCCTTTGCTTTGCTTTTGCTTTTGCTTTGCTTTGCGTTGCTTGTGGTTTGCTTGTTTGTCGCTGCTGTTGTTTTGCCTTTGCTTTGCAGCTATGCTCTGCTCTGCTATGCTATGCTATGCGATGCTGCGCTGTGCTATGCTGTGCTGCGCTATGCTATGCTATGCTAAGCTATGCTATGCCATGCTGCGCTATGCTATGCTATGCTGGGCTATGCTATGATATGCGAAGCTGCGCTATGCTACGCTAAACTCTGCTATGCTGTGCTCTGCTATGCTAAAGCTCAGCGAAGCTAAGATGAAGGTGAGCTGGCTAAGATAAATCTGAGCTAAGAGGAAGCTAAGCTGAGCTAAGATGAAATAAGCTAAGCTAAGATGAGATAAGCAACGCTAAGCTAAGGGGACGTAACTGGGGGAACCGCGGGGCGGATCCTTGGGGAACCGCCCGGGGCGTGGAACATTGCCCGGCCCTTTAAGCACACCGAGTAAGAACCCCTCTAGGCAGAGCCTAGGTAGGGAATAAGAAGCATGCGAATAAGACGAATAGGAAACAGGAACACTACTACGGATAATTATATTCATACCGGTCATAGTATATTTAATTGTACTAATCGTACTCATGAGAAGAGGAGTCATAATACTACTAACGAGAGTACTAGTAACAGTAGTAATACTAATACTAAGAATGATACTGAGACGAAGAAGATTCATGATCATACTAATAATACTAAGAAGAAGATTAAGACAACGAGTAAGAATACTATACATACTGATAAGACAAAGACTACGAATAATAATGATAAGACTAATGATACTGCTGATATTCATACGAACAATCATGCGACGGCGAAGAAGAAGAGGCGGAGGCGGAGGAGGAGGGGGAGGAGGAGGAGGAGGAAGAGGAAGAGGAAGAGGAAGAGGAGGCGGAGGCTGAGAAGGAGGAGGAGGAGGAGGAAGGGGGAGGGGAAGGGGGGATGCGGGACGGGGATGGTTACGGGGACGGGGAGGCGAAGGAGGAGGCGGAGGAAGAAGAGAAATAACACAAACAATAATACGAAGAATAATGATACCAATGATAATTATAATTGTAAGAATACTAATAACAATAAAATCAATACTAATCATGAAAATACTAATACTACTAATAAGAAAAATACGAATAAGAAGAAGAAAAGTAGTAATACTAATAATAATAATAATACGAATGCGAGGGATACTCATAAGAATAAGAAGAAAGAAAAGGGGGATGCGGAGGGGCAGGAAGGGGCGGAGACGGAGGCGGAGGCGGAGGAGGAGGAGGCGGAGGAGGCGGAGGCGGAGGAGGAGGAAGAGGCGAAGGAGGAGGAGGAGAGGAAGCGGAAAAGGAGGCGGAGGCGGAGGCGGAGGGGAGGAGGAGGAGGAGGGGGGGAAGGAAAGGGAGTGTGGGACTAGGACGGGGACGGGGACGGGAGGAGGAGGAGGAGGAGGAGGAGGAGGAGGAGGAGGAGGAGAAGGAGGAGGGGGAGGAGGAGGAGGAGGCGGGGGGGAAGGAGGAGGAGGGGGAGGAGGAGGAGGAGGAGGGGGAGGGGGGGGGAAGAGCAGGAGGAGGAGGAGGAACACAAATACGAATACGGATGATAGTGAGAACCATAATAACGATAATACTGGTAATAGTAAGACTAGCACGAATTAGACTACTAGTACTATTAGTACTACTAGTACGAGTACCACAACAACACCTACTACTACTACTACTACTACTACTACTACTACTCCTACTACGACTACTACTACCACCACCACCACTACTAGTACTACTTCCACTACTATTATTATTATTATTACTACTACTGCGACGACTACTACGACTATTGCTACTACTACTACTACTGCTACTACTACTACTATTATTACTACTACTATTACTACTGCTACTACTACTACTACTACTAGTACTAGTACTACTACTACTACTACTGCTGCTACTACTACTACCACTACTACTACTACTACGAAGACTACTACTACTACTACCACTACTGCTACTACTACTACTACTACTACTACTACTACTACTACTACTTACTACTACTACTTACTACTTACTACATACTACACACTACATACTACTTACTACTCACTACTTACTACTACTACTACTACTACTACTACTACTACCACCACCACCACCACCACCACCACCACCACCACTACTACTACTACTACTACTACTACTACTACT